GAACCGGTGCCCTAGCCCTTTTGGTTGCAAACAAAATCTTCAAATTGTGAACACAGTGTAACTGACACAGAGATGTTTGCCTGAGTCTGCAGACAACCTGAAATAATAGCTCTGAGAGCTATGAATTGCTCTGTAGTAGAGTCTATCACACCACAGAGGTCTAGACAGTGTGGTGCATAGTGGGAATAGAAAGCAACAGGGTCCCAGGCTGGGGAAGCAAGGGTTAATTAACAACTGAAGCTCATTAGCCTCCTAGAAACCCAGCCTAGAGCAATTCTAAGGTAGAAGGGGACAGCTAGTGGGAGTGAGACTTGGTTCCTCCTATTGATACATTCCCATGTTCTGTTTGCCTTCTAATTGCTGTCACACATTAAGTGGATGGTCATTAGCACTGAGGGCTAAATCCTGCTCCCATTGAAGTCAATCGGAGTTCTGCCCTTTGCTTTCAAGAGTGGGACCAGGAACTGACCCTATGAGAGTAGTAAACCTTCACCAGTCATCTCATCTGGAAATGGACTGTGACTGGCATTTCTATTGCTGGGTGGCCCATTGTGTGCCAGCTGTAGAGCTTTAGTCTGCCAGCCCAGCTAGGGTGCTGGTGCTCTCCTCAGTCATCTTTGCCACACAGAGCTTTTCATAGATCATAGCCATCATAGCCTAGTCCATGCCCTGGGGCTAGTGCGGAATTGTTCCCCACTGTGCATTCTTCAGTCTTTTGTCCAGTCCAGTTATAAATTGCTCATGACTCAAACAATGGGGTTTCTATTGCTTCCCTTGGGAGACTATGCCACAATATTATAGAATTTGCTGCCAAGAGTTTTTTTCCTGCTATTCAGCTCAAGTTTTCCTTTCCTCCTCAGGAAGCACTGTGTGCTGGAGACAACAGGATCTGTGCAGTGTAGCAGAGGGATAGGCAGCTAATGTTGATGGAGCATAGAGAAACAGGGATAGGCACCTAGGAAAGTTGGGGCAGTTATTGGGGAGGTAATAGGTGGGTTTGGCAGTTGTGGGTGGACAGCTTATGGATCACTGCAGTTTACAGGGAACGCACGTACTTGCTTACACTGTTTGATACATGACAATGCATGTTATTTGGTCATTCATTCTCTCACCTTTTCCAGGCCTCCTTGGAGCTTCTTTCACATTTGCTCATCTCCCCACTTGTGTCATCTGCATCCCTCTCCAGATCATTCATCATCTGGATAAACAGGACAAGGTACACCAATTCCTGAGGTGCTCCATGTGCCATTTCCTTCCTACTACCTCTGTAACCATCATCCTCTTTGGCCCATGGTATTAAATCCTTCCCCTGTTGGATATTTCACCACCAGCACAGTACCTTCTCGGCATCTACAGGTGTGTAGGTCTTTGATGTATAAAAGGCCTTCTGGAAAAGAAAAGCTGCATCTATCTTGAGCTGTTTTCAAAAATCTCCCTCTGTTGCCAGCACTGGGGGTCTGTATTGGTACTATAGCAATGGTGGGAGAGCTGGTGGAGACTAGCTGCTGGCATTTAGCTCTGAGCAAGCGTAGCTGATGCAGTGGTAAAAGCATCTGCACCATGTCCATACTAGGGCTCTTGTCATTGCTATCTCTTGTGGAGCTGCACCGACAGTAGTGAAAGGGTGATAGATTCCCGCCCAGATTGTAGTGTGGACAGAAGATCTATGGAATTCATACATTGGGCCATGTCTACACAGCAAAAATAACCAGGTATAAACCAGGCTGTTGTAACATGCTAATGGCCCAATCTTGTTATGATTTATCCTTTACTGTGTGGACAGAAAGAAAATATCATAACCATGTTGTAGGCCACTGTATCTGTCAGGGTTATAGGATGTGGTATTCTTCCTTATGTATGTTATAACATGGCTGAACTATATCTATATCCAAGAGAGAGCTGGATAAATTTTTGAGTGTGATTGTATGATGGGGTTACTTGTGATGGTAGGGAGCAGGGCTCAGAAGCCCTGTGGCTCATTTCTGGTTTATGTCTTATGTTCCTAAAAGCTTATGCTTCAGGGCTTCAGCCAGCCACCAGCAGGGGTCATTTGTAAAGCACTTCAGTATCTGTCTGGATGAGAGGCCCTGTATAACTGCAAGGTATTATTAATAATCATCATCAGTCTGCCTCTTTTTTTAGCTACAGTTATTACTTTTTGACCTGTTGCCTTAGTTGCACATATTCTTCTGGACATAGGGATCTTCTCTCTGGGACTGGCTGGTTGCCCTCACTCTCCCTGGTGAGTAATGAGACAAACAGCCCACATTCACATGTCATACTGCGCCGTGTCTGTTACACAGCTTTAGATCATCTGAATCAATAGCAAATGCTCCCCCTAAGGCATGTGAAAGGGTGGTTTGCTTAAAAAGCAAATCCAGCGCCAGCATTCTGGCTAGCAGCAGCCTCATTGGGGTTTGTCAGTAATAACTCACTTCCTTGCTCTAAATATTTTTCTAGAGGTGGCCTCACCTGGTCACCATTATCAAAAAGCAATTTTGTTGCTAACAACATTCAAACAAAGCAGCTCCGGTCCTCAGCACAGGGGAGCTATTTTGCAGGGCTCTTTGCATTGCACATCACCTTCAAGGAATTCAAACTGATTGATCAAGAGTCCGCTTCAGAGCTCTGTCACTCCACATGGCCACATGACCCCCACGTTTGATTCTTTAGCTCAGTATGTCAACCCCCCTGTGAAGGCAGGGAGCAACCCTTATAAAAAAGTATTCCATTGTTCTCCAGTAATCACCACACACATTGCAGTAGCCCTGCTGGACAAGATGTGCTTTGGCCCAGCAATGAGCAATCCTGTAGTTCATTGATAGAAGGGGGGGAGTGTTCAGTGACTAGTTCTGAGGTTGTACTTCATTGGGAGGCTTTTCAGTTTTTTAAAATCCCACTTGTATGCAGCTATACTGCTGGTGAAAGGTGCTGAGCTGAGAACCCTGCATAGGACCTGAATAGTGTGGGCAGCAGAGGGCAAGCTCTCCAGTCCTGTCATGCCAAGAGCCTTGACCCTGACCTGGAAGGACTCCTTTAGGTAGTATACCTGTGACTCTTTCAGTTCTTGGCTCTCAGCTGAGTCTACCAATAGGAATGGCAATTTGTCCCTACCATAGCAATGGTTTCTGTGATGTGGACACCTGTCCACAGGGAACTGGATTAAGATCTTCCTATTTCTTTAAATTAAGAAACAGTTGCTGGTTGCCTGCAACAGCAAGGCAGAGATCCTTTCAACGAAATTGGAAAGCAGCAAATTTTAAATGGATAAAGGCAAATACACTTTAATATGATGTCCCATTAAACTGATGCATGTAGTTAGGTAAGTTTCCAAAAAGGCTGGGAGACACTTTGTAAAAAGAACAGCCATTTCTATGAATAACGTCTGCAATTACAGTAAATTAGAGGAGCTGTCAATCCTCATGTTTCAGGATGTAAGCTAATCACTGCCTGGTCAGGAATAAATTTCTCCAAGTGGTGTAGTATTGCACAAATTACCAAGTGCATTATGGGAGGTTTATATCTTCTCTTGCTTGGGGTATAAGAACCTAGATGGATCAGGCATTGGCCAATGCTTCCATTAAAATCAATGGAAGTCACAGGATTTTAGCACATGATGCTTTACATCAGTGGTTCTCAACCAGGGGTACATGTACCCCTGGGAAAACGCAGAGGTCTTCCAAGGGGTACATCAGCTCATCTAGATGTCTGCCTAGTTTTACAACAGGCTACATAAAAAGCACTACAAAGTCAGTACAAACTAAAATTTCATACAATGACTTGTTTATACTGCTCTATATACTATACAGTGAAATGTAAGTACAATATTTATATTCCAATTGATTATTTTATAATTATATGGTAAAAATGAGAAAGTCAGCTATTTTTCAGTAACAGTGTGCTATAACACTTTTGTATTTTTATGTCTGATTTTGTAAGCAAGTAGCTTTTCAGTGAGGGGAAACTTGGGGATACGCAAGACAAATCAGACTCCTGAAAGGGGTACAGTCATCTGGAAAGACTGAGAGCCACCGCTTTACATGTTCAACGCACTGCACCAGCATTAAGTAACTACTGTGAAGTAGTATCACAAACTGTTCAAATTAAATCCTACCGCTCAGGTTGCATCTGATCACTATGTATGCTCTGGTACTGTATGCTCCGTCACTCGTGGCTCAGATTATGGGCAAATAAAACTGCATCATAATCTCCAATGAGAATTAACATACAACAGTCTCTAGTGAACTGATCTGAATTCCTTGTCAATAAGGCTCTCTCAAGAGCAGCTTCTCTTTGTTTCACCCCTCTTGTCATTCCTTGTGAAGTTTTCCAGTTTATTTAAGCCAGATCCTATCCACTGATGTCAGTGGCAACACTCCTGTTGACTTTCGCAGAAGTAATCCCTTGGACGCTCAGCTCCTCGGGCAAGGACCTTATCTTCATATTAGCTGGTTAAATGCCAAACACACCTGTTGTGTAATAATGTTTATTAATAACTACATGTACAGTCACATTATATTTTTCTGGTCCCTGGTTGGTTGACCTACAACTACAGGATACATGAACACACACATAGTGTGATGAGATATTCTTTATGTTTTATTTGGTCTCTTGATAGTCTGCACAGTTGGTAATTTGCAATTTCAGCCATTCATCTCAGTGAGCAAAGCTTGGGTCTACCACAAATACAATTCTGCAATGGCCTGGCTAGCATATATGGGCACCAGTTTCTATGGGATAGAGTTAGAAGAACTGCTCAACTGTATGTCAGAGGCCCCATACTGCAGACAGCTATGGATGATTCTCCTTTAGCTCAGATGGCTGCAGGTGGTGGGTCTGGGTGGTATCCCTGCTGCACTGCAATTCTGGTTGTCAGTACTCCAAGAGGAACGTGGGCTTGCTGGTAACCCTCCAGGACTGCCTTGGAGTCCCCGTGGGTTGCTGTCCAGTGTGTGATGGGAGGCGCAGAGGCCCACCGGAATAGGTCCCGCTGCCTTGAATGCGCACGCGCAGAGGTCGGCAAAATGGCGGCGCCCGTGGACCTAGAGCTGAAGAAGGTACCGGCCGGGTCCGATTTGTAGCGTTGCGTGCGGGGGCGAGCGGAGCCTCCTTCCCTATAGCCTGGGTGGCTGCAGGAGGGAGGGCCGCAGCAGGGCCCTGCTCCCCGGGTTCAGAGGCCGCGCGGGGCTCGGCTGTGCTGCAGCCCTGCTGGGTGTCCCGGGGCTGGCAGGAGCCGGGGCCCGGGGAGCGGGGCCTACGTGTGAGACCTGCAGCGCAGCGGAGAGCACGGAGCCGGGGGAGGTGTGGGAGCGTGGGCACCTGAGAGACTCCCCCCCTCCCCCCCGACAGACACATACACACCCTGAGACAGACACTCGACCTCACTCTCTGCAAAGCTCCCTCTCTGTCCGGCCGCATGGCTGATCCCCTCCCCAGCAGAGAGTAGAGCGCTGCCCCTCCCTCCCACTTTTGCTGGGCAGGGCGAGCTTCTCCAGCCCTGACCTGGAGGGAACCAGAGCTGTCAGGGAAGGGAGTGGGCACGGGGAGGTGGCCAGGGGAAAGCTTGGAGAGCAGATAGAAGTGAGTCAGGCCAGGCATCTCCAGTGAAGAGGAGCAGTCCAGTGCCCCAGAAGGGAGGCAAATCACTAAGAATGAGTCTTGCTAGATAACTTAAAAACATATATGTGTGCCACGCAGGAGGGCAGATCCTTGAGCTGACAGTCTGTGTCCAGAAGCGTGTCTGTGTTTGGAATCCCTGGTGTCATTATAGCTGAAAGAGGCAGTTCACTTATAAACCCCTGCACATGAGTTAGCTGTTGCTGAGTTTTCTGAGTCCAAAATGAAAACAGCTGCACCATGTCCAGAAGTGCTACTTGACACTCCTGGACCAGTAAAACTTAATTTCCCGTGCAAAAGTTATGATGTTCAAGGTCAAAATTTCATAACTGTAACTTGCCTACTTTTTTCACTAGGCTTTTACTGAACTGCAGGCCAAGGTTATCGACACACAGCAAAAGGTGAAGCTGGCAGATATACAGATTGAACAACTAAACAGGACGAAAAAGCATGCACACCTCACTGATACGGAGATTATGACTCTGGTGGATGAGACACGCATGTATGAAGGTGTAGGGAGAATGTGAGTAACTTTTTTACTGATAGGTTTCAGAGTAGCAGCCGTGTTAGTCTGTATCCGCAAAAAGAACAGGAGTACTTGTGGCACCTTAGAGACTAACAAATTTATTAGAGCATAAGCTTTCGTGGGCTACAACCCACTTTTTCGGATGCATATAGGGTGAAACATATATTGAGGAGAGATATATACACACACATACAGAGAGCATGAACAGGTGGGAGTTGTCTAACCACACATCACTGAACAAAAACACTGACCCAGGAACCTATCCTTGTAACAAAGCC